TTATGTCCCAGATTTAGTGCTTTCGTTTCCATTTGGGAGGGAAGCGATAATTTTGAGAAAAAAATATAAATAAAATAAATTAATAATAATAATAAAAAAACAAAGCCATTTAGCTATAGTAAATTATCTTTCAAAATTATTTTTTATAATTTTTTAATTTCCCATATATATGTACATATACTAACTATGAATTCAAAACTAATTTTTGTGCAGTGAAGAGTATATACAATATTTTCCAATAAAAAGTGTTATTTTGATATCTAAAAAAAATTATATTATTTTAGATAAATGATCGGACGCTTATTTCAATGTAAAGAGGAAGATATGCCATTAATAATGGAAAACAATACCAGCAGAACGGCTTTACAGAACCGTATCCTAATTATGAAATTTTCCATCACCAAATCGCAAAGTGGCTGCTGTATGCCATTAACAGCTTCATGAATTCCAGCATTGAGGTCTTCAATCGACGTTGACCTGTTGGCGTAGGCTTTATAGGCTTTCACGTGGCCCCAAAGGAATAAGCCGCAGGGTCTTAAATCATGATCCGGAGTTATAACACGATCCGGAAACTTCTCCCTTAAGAGATCGATGGTTTCGTTGCTTGTGCGTCACAAGGAGTCGTCTTGTTGAAAGTAAACGTTGCCGTAAACGTGTATGTTGCGAATGGAGAGGCTTTACAACAATAAATCTTGGTTTTTTCCGAGCCTCAGATGCGACAGTTTTGCTTATTGACGTAGCCATCGAGGTGGAAATGGGTCTCGCCAGTCAAGATGATTTTCGTGGAAAATTTTCATGCATTTCAAAGATCCAATCAACAAAGAGAAAACGTTGTTGATGATCTGCAGGCTTGAGTTCTTGTGCTAACCTAACTTTATAAGACTTACGACCCAAGTCTTTATACAAAATACGTTGTAATGACGTTTGTGGGACGCCCAATTCCAAATAACGACGAGGAATGTCAGATCTGTTGATTCCTCAGCACTTTGGGCTACAAGCAACGACATTCTCAGTTGCTTTTGAGCCATGTGCACGGGGTTTATTCCTTATATCCACAACTTTTTTTACAATATTTTCCACCGATTTCTGTGTTGTGTCATTTCTTCCTAATCTTCGCTAATTTATACCAGTTGAAAATATTTCCAAGTGAATTATTGCTCAATACTTGATCCTTTCACATTCCTTCGCTTTCTACCTCTGCTTTCACCAGCGGATAGTGTTTTAAATGCTCTTAAAATTTCCTTTATTGAACATAACGAACACCCTTTCATCATTTGGCTTTCGCGACTAGATTTGCAGTGGCAATTTTTTAACTCATTTTCCCTCCTATGGCTGCAATATTGCCTTTAACTTCGTGTTTCAAGTTATAAGTCGCCTCCGGATCGTTAACGTACCGCAGGTGCAGGACGCCCAGTAAACAATGCCGTTTCGAAAGCTTGCTTCACGAAAGATCGATTGTAACGTTAGCTTTGTGGCATATAGTGCCTTTGAAATCAGACCTAGCCCATGTCATTTTCTTCAATATTTCGAATCAATTAATTTCTGAGTATGGTACGATAATGATTGGCATTGCAGAAAACTTGACTCTATTTGAGATTGCATAGGATTTTCAGTAGTTATATAAAGCTGGCACTATGTAGGCGCTGAAGAGACTTTTGGCCGAGCTTCTTCTCCGATTTGGGGTATGCGTTTTGATGCTTTCCAACAAATATAGGGATCTACAGTTTATTCTAAGCCGCCTTCGGACAGCCGATTTTTCTGAACTGTTTTTTATTTCATATCAGAAATACACTCGAAAGGCTTGACATTCCCTGCCTTGGGGCTTGGCCCCTTTTAAGACTTCTTTCCAAAGTCTTTATTCAGAATTCTGCAGAAAGAAGTCTGCGAACTGTTGCAAACAGGGTCAAGTTGATGTTGATGGTTGTTCGAGTACACTTTTTAGTTACAGCAGCAATGTTTCCTGTTGAGAAAATTAACGAACCGGTTAGATGATCTGGATGCACGAATTGATCCACAAATTGCCTGGGGGGCGAGTTATTTTTCTTGAAGACTCACCACTCTGAACTAAGTGTTCTTTAACATATTCGTAATGTTATTGAAAATTTAAAAGCGAACGATGGATTGCCCCCCTTTGTAAGGTAACTTCTTATAGCCGTGTACAACTTTGCTTCCGCCGTTTTTTTTCCAAAATTAAAAGCTTTATTGCGAAAAAGTGCTTACAGATATTTTATTCAAAGTATTGTCCTTCGCTAGCGACAACTTTCTCCCATCTTTCCGACAATTTTCGGATCTCGGCTCGAAAAAAGGAGTCCTCTTTTGACGCTATCCATGAAGCAATCCATTTTTCCAATTCTTCGAAGGATTGAAAATGTTGATCTGCCAGGCCGTGTGCCATCGAACGAGCGTGAATAATACGAAAACAAGAACAACTGTCACTGAAACGGTAGGCACTGTCCACACTCACTTTAAAGGCATTATCATCTATGTATTTCAACCAGCCTCAGCCGGTGCAGCCACCTATCGGAAAACGGCGTTAGCAAAGCTGTAATGGCAGTTCGTGAAACATCGTAGTAATGTATATACTAAAAAAACACGAACACTGTTGAAAATTTACACAAAAAACGGCATGTTTCGGATTATAAAATATTTCTTTCTTATAAATATTTTTTTTTTTTACATAAAAACTCGGTTACTTGCGTTAGATATCAATAAAATTATAGCAAGTTTGAAATCTTGGATTTCCTTCATAAAATAATAAAGAAAAATTATTATATTACATATTTACTCCTGTATACACGTACATACATGTATACATTGATATGTATAGAACGAAGAATAAAAGAGAATGTCCGATTGCCCTTATAAAACTACCCTACTGACACATATATGTACTATATATGTATGTGTTTTTCATGTATAGGTACATATGTTTCATGCGCCGAAAAATTTGGCACAGCAAAGAAAATTGACAAACGCGCTCGATAAACATTGCGAAATGTTGGAGCACATAGACTATGTTTTCGCAGCCGCTGGATGTTAGAAAAGCACCGATAGTTGAACGAGAGAAAAATACGTATATTTTGTGCTTTTATGACGTTAATCTGTCAAACAAAGTAACGGTTATTTTACTTTGCTACCTAGAGTTCTCTGCATCTCTTATATGTATGCATACCAATTTTTCTTAACTTCATTCTAACATAAACAATGTTTTGGATTTAAGGAGAATAAGCGTTTTGTATCGAGCGGATTGTGGATGATATGTGAGCTTAGATTCCAAACATCTTATAGCTTAAAGTCACAACACAGTGACGGAGTACAGGAGTACAAAATCATAGTTGGAGTTAAAAAAATGCCACAAACGATGAAAATCAGGATAGTAATGGCACGATTGAGGTTAGATTTTTCCTAAACTTACGTATGTTTTCTACATTTTTAATAGTTATTTATATTTCACTCATTCGACTTGGTACCAACTGTCGGTGTAGCTTTTGAATCCATACAATATACATATACATATTTGGTAGATGAGAAAAGCGTCTGATATGAAAGACAGAGAAAATCTCGTGGAATATTGGCCTAGAGTCTTAATATAGATATTAGCCAATTTTTAGTCTTATCGTCTAATTAGTTTAGAAACAAACGCCTGTCAAAGTGAAGTCCTCGAGGAATGAATCTACTGAAGATGTATTTTCCGAAGGCATCAACATCATGAGGAAGAATTGAGCGCCCTTGCAAAATATTGCGTCTTATCTATTCAGCCCTGCAACGAACGGCTAAAGTAATTTTTCCCAATTCTCACTTCGCTTCTGACATCGTCTAGCGTCATGTTACACAGCCGCATAAGCTCTTTTTCGTGCTTTGACTTGCCTTTGACAGCTTTAAAATCGATGGAAAGGTAATGTGTATCGATTTTTCTCACGAATCTTCAAAAACCCATCGGGTACGGTCTCAACTGACTTTATACTGTAATGCACATGCACTATCTATCCGCTCCCGCCTCTTGTAATTTCTAATGGAACGCCTTTTCAACTATCCTTGATTGCAGATTCGGGCTCACGATCTCCGACTCTTGCGCTTTCAGTTGGTGGTGGAAGTGTTCCATCTATAAACCCATAAACCTAACTAATTTCATTCTTCATTTCGGTCAGTTTTTCAAGCACTTTATACACAATCATTTGGGCATCGTTCCTTTTTGGTCTACAAACACTTCTCTAGGTATCTATCCCACCCCGTACCTGTTGTTGTTCTGTATGTTTTCCCCTCGTCTTTTCTCTTAAAATTCATCTTTGGCCACATCGTCCTTCTCTTTTGTCGGGGCGGGAGCATAAAGCAGTTATGTACTTGAAAAACTTCGGCTAATGCGGATTGTAACGGGGCCCTCATAAACCGGGTTTAGTAACATTAAACCCGCAAATCCAACACCAAATTTACACCACTTCATATAGCCTCTATTGTTGATTTCACGACGATTCATCACCGACCTTATCCCACTACGTCACTTCTTGGTCGGTGTTAATGCCAATTTTTTCGGGTCGTTCATAATTCACGTTCTTGAGAACATCAAACATCTGGGCAGTGGCACCTTCCCAATAAAAATACCGAATATTCCATGTACCTGTCCATAAATATATATACCGACTGAAGTGATTTTTGGCCGTGCTATTCCGCTAGTTTGTGGTGTGCGTCTTGATGTTTTTCCACCAACCTACAGTTTACACGAGTACGAAGCCGCCTCCGAACGGCTGATGTTTTTATTTATGAGGCGGCATTATTTGATGTCAGAAATACACTAGGACTGCTTGATATTTCCTACCGAGAGGCAACTGTAATTGGAAGATTTGATGTAATTTTTTTTTAATGCTAGTCGAACCAGCATTCGAACTCTGACCATCTGATACGAACCACTCTTTAATCAGCCGTCCATACTCCCGCACGCAAAAGTTTTAAAATAAAAGTTTTGATTTTGATTAATATTTTATTTGTATGATTTTGATATTAGCATAAAATAAGTTAATGTAATTGAATTTTTGAATTGAATTGCTTATTGCTAGGTACATGTGCATGTACATATTTTTCCTCACTCTCTACAACTCACGCACCTCCAACTTGACCATATATTTGTCAATTGCTTTCTTATCAGCTATTTGGGGGAGCTCGGCACGCATTTGATCCCAAAAGTTCGGTTCGCCCCAGACGTAAAAAGTGGCACCTTTGAAGCACTTCATCATCACACTGTCCAGACTTTTTGTACACTTTATACCGTAAAGTATGATTATCACACGATCTATAATTTTTGGAATGAAATTTTGAAGTGCCGAGCGATATTTCTTGACTGCCCATATATCTTTCACGAAATTTTCCGATAACAGAATAACTGTACGTTTGGACTTCTTTGCGTATTGTTTTATATCTTTCACAACAATGTTATCTGGTCGTTTCTTAGGTGGATTTAAGTCACGTGTATTTTTAAATTCGGTGGGTTCAGTGAAAAAGTGCTCATCGAGTTTTGAATAGATTATAAAGGCTTCTAACAAATTGGGATATACGTTTCTTTCTATCATGCAGGGGCAATAATCATGGTCCTCATTTTCACAATGTTTTCGCAGAATAACATACATTAAGAGAAAAGCAATGAAGAATAATAGCCCGAGTTTCAAATACTTCGCTGATAGGCATATCATTCTGGAGATGACGTTAACAACTGTCAAACTTCCAAATTGGACTCCTATGGAATCGATCTTCATCACGCAACGCATAGCCAACAAATCGTGTTCGGTGATTTTTCCAGTATCGAAAAGAGCCTGTATAGAGCCCAAAAACTGTGTATCCAAACAGTCACAAACCCAGGGATTATTTGCAAGGAAAATACTCTGTAAGTTGCCGCAGTTATTGAAGAAGTAGATTAGTACATCCTTATCCAGTGTCTGCAGGAGATTATTTCTCAAATCCAAATACTCCAAATTTTCCGGTAGATTGTCCGCTTTGATATGATGTAGTTGATTATCGGCAGCAAATAATGCCACCACACTGGAATAGCCCGGTGTAGTGTTGTTGGGTAAATTTTTGATTTGATTATGTGCCACATTCAGCTCGATACCTTTCAGCAGCGTCAAAGCGGGTAGTTTTGGCACCTCTGTGAAGTTGCCGTATGAGCAGTTAATGAGCAGCATAAGATCCACGGGACGTACCAAACATTCGCAACCTTGCGGACAAAGTTTCTCCAGTGAGAATTGATCATCGAGCGGACAAACCAATTCCATGGTACTTAAATCGATCACCTCTTTATCCTTCAGCGCTGGTGGACCCACACAACGTAAATTATTCGTAGACACTTCAATTTTATCAACCACCTCACCTGCGAGATCACCAATAATGAACTGCACGAAATGTAAAATTCCACAATCACAATTCAATGGATTCTCGTTGAAGTCAAAATGTATGGGACGTGCTGCGGTGTGTAGTTCAATGTTGTTGATGCCATTAAAATTGATTTGTTCGATGAGGTTGTGTGTGAGATTGACTAGTGCGACTTCGTTGCTGAAAAATCGTATATCCTGAGTTGAGAACGTATTTATTTTGTTGTAGCTGAGATCCAGTTTGCGTAGCTTGAGAAGTTGTATCCTCCAATCTTTGTACAGGGACATAATGGAATTATTGCGCAAGTATAATTCTTCTAAATTGAATAAGAAACGGAAGGGTGAGGTATCATCGTTTGGAAAGTCTTCCACATAGCCGTCATTGTTATCGTTAGTGTCCATTATTTCCAGTACATCCGCCTCCGCATTCATGGAGAGATCGATTTGGTTATTGGCCAAGTTGAGATATTTCATGTTGCTAGTTTCGGTGAAAGCGTTGAAGTCGATCTTGAGTAAATCATTGTCGTTGAGTTGCAATATTTCGAGTTTCGTTAAGGGTTTGAATAATTCGCTGAAACAAAAAAAAAAAATAAAAAATATTAATTTTATTTCAAGTTATTGTTTGCTATTGACTATTATACATTTTTAAATATGAATTAATTGCATTATCAACGGGGAATTTCTTTAAGCGCAACTCACCTTGTTATCTCGACGAGTTGATTGTGCGACAGCTTTAGTACAACCAAACCAACTGTGCTCTGAAATAGTTTATCGGGCAAACTTTGCAAACGATTATGGGACAGATCCACGTTATAGAGATTTTTTTGGTGGCTCAACAACTTATCCGGCAGTGTTGTTAGCTCGTTGTTACGCAATGTCAGATTTGCCAATTTCGTACAACCGTCGAACAAATCTTCCTGTAAATCGACCAAACCGCAAGTTACTGTGACTTCCTCCAGCTGCGTCAAATTTTCAAATAATCCTCGTGGTAAAGTTTTTAACTGAACTTTGTTATTAATTAGCCTGAATTCTTTGAGCAGTTTATTAGACGCAAAGAGATCCGGAGGTAAATCTACCAATTTATTCATATTCAAGTTCAAACTTTTTAAACTGACGAGTCGTGCGAAAACATCATGTTCCAAATGCTCTATTTCGTTTGAACTAAGATCCAGAAACGAGAGTTCGTGTGCGCCCTGAAATGCTTGCTTCGTAAGTTTACGCAAACGATTGTTCCACAAGTTCAGTTGCCTCAGTTTTCCTTGATTTTTGAAGATGCCTGCGGGCAAATCTACCAAAAAGTTATGTCCTAAATCCAGATAAGTCAGATTGACTAAAGGTTCCAACAAATGTTCTTCGAGTGTGAAATTATTGGAGCACAGATTTAACCAAATGAGATTTGGTAGATGCTGGAAGAGATCATTTGGTAAAATTATTTCTGTTTTTGCATTCAATTTCAAATTTCGTAATTGCTCCATGCCACTGAGTTGCTGGTGGGTTATATTGGTATTGCCTGCGTCGATTGTATAAGCGAGATAGTTGACGCGTTCGATGCCCAAACGTTTAAATAGTTCAACAATGGATTGCTCGTCATCGGGTAACGGACAATGTTGAATTTGTGCGATTTTCATTGGTCCGATATTTAACTTGGGCAACATTTTATAGCTTTCTTCATTAAAATCTTCACATTCGATCTTTGCAACTTTGCCGGGAGTAATGCGTATATTCAGTTTGCCCTGGGATTCGTGTAGCACACATTCGATTTTGTAGCGCGCCAGCTCCATGAAACACTGACAGTTAGAGTCGGCGCTCATCACTTTACAATCCGTCTCTGTAAATACTGCACTGTTCTGCGCTTGTTGTAAGCCGAGTATCAAGATTAGTATAAGCATCTTGTTTACCCAACGACACATTTTGAAATTCGCAAGTCCTTTAAAATTCATGCTTGCTTTTCAACACTCACTATAGTTTCAATTAAATTTCTCTTCCGTAATCACGCGTAGTTAGTAATGTTTCCTTTGCAGAAAATGTTTCAACTGTCTCACTAAACTCCTTGCACGTCCTTTTATACATAAATTCAAGCGATCGAGGTGCCTGCGATTGAAGGTCGCAGGCAGCAGGCAGTGTAAGGGTGTGAAGGATCGCTACCTAAGCGGTTTGTTTACTTTCCGCTGAAGGGTGCGCTCATTCAAAAACTTCTCAAATTTTTATTGCTGCCTCGCCCACTTTTTTTTTGTTTGCTTAACTGCATTTCTTTGAAATTAGGCATCTCTATTTCTATATCCATTGTTTTGAGGTAATCAGACTTAGTAATCCCCTAAAGTACGGGATTTTGTATCGTACAGGAGTAGGTAAGGTTTCTAAAATTTAATTTGTTTTTGAACTACAATTATTCAAAGGATACATTTACTTGTATATATCTATGTAGTTATATCTGTGCATGCATTTCGGGCTTCAAATTGTTTCTATTGAAAAATATATATTAGATACAAATAAAAGAACAACAAAGGAAAAGGTTTTCAACATTAAAAAAGTATTTGAACTTAAACTAAAAAATCGGGGTTTTAATTTTTCTCATAAAAAACTAGAAATATATTCATTCCATCAAATGATGAAATATGATCTATTGAAAAATATTCAAAACAGTTGCCGAACTCCCCGGCTTATGGCACTTTTGGTGGCAATTTCAATAAAGAAATAAATATTGAAAAACAGGACCCATATTTGTCTACTGAAGATCATTTGGCTTAATTTTTCCTTCTATGGCCAGCAAGCCGGGATGAACGTAGGTCCAATACGCAAATTTAATAACTTAAAAATATTATTTAATTATTCTAAGGACATCTCTTCGCTGAAATTCGATTTATGCGAATATTCCTGTGAAATAATTTTTTATAAGTTTCAGCGCTGGATATCAAAACATTGTCTAAAACTATTTTTTTTTTAAATTTTCGGCAAGGTACAGGTAGGATGTTATGCAAGTTAATTGTCTGAACAAGAACTAATATTGTAAGGCCGATATGTGTCATTATAAAAGTTTTATGCTCGTTTAAACATTTGATCTACCCTCTGAGGTACTATTTTTAATGGCAATCCACATTTGATAAATAAAATAATTTTTGAAAAATCAATTCGACGGCTATAAATGAATTTCCGAGAACCTTCTATAGGTTTGTGATAGCGAATGATGTCGAATTATGGATCTGCATTTGCAAGCCTGAAAGAAGCAATAATAAAAAATGGGACTCTATTTATTATATTTTATTTTAATTCATTAATTTTGGATTTTATCTTGTCTCCTTTCATTTATTTTGTTTTTATTATAAATAATTAGGTGTATGCATTATGCATTCGTGCGGTTTTCCTAGAGAGGGCTCTACGAGTATTATTTCACGTCGTGTTCATCTGTGGCTATCCTCATTTCAAAGGTTCTGTCATTTCGCGTCGTTTTCAGTAGATACCATTTGTTTTAGCGTGAACAACAATTTGTTTCATTTATTTGAAAATGTCGAAATTTGTACCAGATAAAGTGTTTTTGCGCGGAGTTCTTCTTCATTACTTTACCATGAAGAAAAATGCTACCGAAAGCCAACGTATTTTACTGGACGTTTATGATGACCATGCTTTAGCTGAACGAACGTGCCAAAAGTGCTTTGCACAGTTTAAATGTGACAATTTCGACTTAGACGACGGACAGGCAAAAAAATTTCAAGACGAAGAATTGGAGACATTGCTCGTCGCAGATGCATGCCAGACGCAAGAAGAACTTGCAAAAGTATTAGGAGTTGTTCAAGCACCGTTTCCAGATGATTAAAATCATTAGGATATATCCAGAAGCTTGGAAATTGAGTGCCTTATGAATTAAAGCCAAGAGACTTCGAACGTCGAATCTGCATGTCGGAAACGCCATCAAAAGAAGTCAAAAGAAGTCATTTCATGAATCGGATTGCCAGTGGCGATGAACAAATGGATTCATTATGATAACCCAAAGCGCAAGAGATCGTATGTGAACACCGGTCAACCATCGACATCAACGGAAAAGCCGAATATCCTTGGTGGCAAGGGTGTACTCTGTTTTGAGCTATTGAAATCCGGTCAGACGATCAAAGGGGACCTCTACCGAAAATAATTGCTTCGTTAGAAAAAGGCCATCGCGGAAAACCGATCAGAATACGCAACCAGATACGAATCAATAATTTTTAATTATGACAACGCTCGACCACATGTTGCAAGTCCAGTTAAAAAATATTTGAAAAACTGTGGGTGGGAAGTTCTACATCATCTGACTTATAGCAAAGACATAGCACCGTCCGATTACACTTGTTCAGATCAATGCATAATGCCCTCACCGGAGTACGCTTTACTTCAGAACAGGATATCAGAAATTGGCTCGATTCTTTCTTGACCTCCAAGCCGGAGAAGTTCTTTTGGGATGGGATCCACAAACTGCCAGAAAGATGGGCAGACAATGGGCAATACTTTGAACATTAAATGTATAACAATTTTTTCGCAATAAAGTCTTAATTCTCGAAAAAACCTCATGAATTAATGCATACACCCAATATTTCATTTTATAAATTTTTTGGTTTCATTTTATTAATTTTTTTTCAATTTTTTTCTATTATACTATTATATTTTTTATTTTGTTTTGGTTTTGTTTTATATATTTTTATAATTTGTATTTTCTTTTATATTTGATTTAATTGTATGTGGTCTTGTTTTATTCTTATATATACTTAATTAAATATTGTTTTAAATAAAATATTTTTTTTTCGTATAAAGTCTATAATTAATTTAAATTTTTATTTTACCTTAAACAATTTTTTTAATTTTGTGCTTATCTTATTTTCTTTTTTTTATATTTAGTAATATTTTTTGTTCAATTTTATTTAACTTCGTTATTCTTTTAGATTTTATTTTATCTTAATTTTTTTCATTATATTTATTTTTGTTGAAACTTCTTTTTATTTTAATTTTTATAATTTTTATTTGTTTTATATTATTTTATTGTTTTATTTTATTTCATATTTATTTTTAGTTTATATTATTATTTTAGTTTCTAATTAATTTAATTTAGTTTAATTAATTTTTATTTTTAACATACTTTTTTATTGATATTTAATTATATTTTTAATAACTTTTTTATTTTGTTTTATTTAATTTTATTTTATTTATGGCTTATACTTTTTTTATTACTATTTAAATTATATGATTTAATTTTGTTTTATATTTTAACTTACTTTAATTTAATGTTATTTAGTTTTAATTCAGATATTTAGTATATCTAACTCAGATTAAACGTATTGATTTGGTCATAGTAAAATCTCATTGGAAAACCCTTAGCGGACCATTAATGCTATGATTCATTGCTATCGTCATTCTGAACATTTAAAATGAATAAAGCCACTGCTGGAACTAACTTAAAAATGTCATTAGAAATAAAATATAATACTGAATTCAAATTATTTCTCTCTACTTCATTTGATTTAAATTTCATTTCAACACACAAATTCAATTACATCTCTCAATGTCTCATTGAAGAGCACCCACTCGCCCATTCAGACGTAACAAGTCACTACACATTTGCCACAGTCACTAAGCTCAAGCCCCCACAACCATCAATGTCAACCTAATCGGCATGCTGCTAGCCAGCTCAGCTCGGCAAATCATTTATTCAGCCATTCCGAAAGTGAGTTACACCAGAAAGAAATCCTGCACAGTTGCATTTGCAGTCATCATAACAAACCGCACCGTGAACCGCTCCCTAAATCTAACAAATCCACATTGTCATTTATCAATTTAGTTGACAGTCAATTTCTTTTCGATTCCGCAACATCACTCGAATAGATTCAGTCGTTTTTGCATGTTTGTTTCCAAGTGGCCTGTAGGGAAAATCAATATTAAAAGCTGCAAATTTATTAGAATTTTCTATGGTAAAAGAACACCTTTTCGATTTGTTCTCTTAGGCCATCAAAGCAACAGTTGCGTTGTCTGTGTGTGTCTGTAGTGACACCCTTCAAATGCTGGTGCTGCGAAATAATATTGGGACGCTGAGTTTGCTGAAGGCGGAAGCATTTGGATACATCGATGGGGTGCTTGAGCAAGTTGCTGGTGTCGGCCAGACAACCAACACTCAATCAAATTTAAGCAATTGAAATAAATTGAGTGTTGTCTGTGTTGCTGATTGTGAAGTTGGATTTTATACTATTCCTGTGCCTATTTGTGTGACAATTTAGAGTTTTTGGTGTTGGAGAACTGATTACATTTGACATCATTTACAAGGAATTTAATAAAGAGATACTCATGCTCTTAGTTCTACAATAATCGTTGCATGTAAAGGAATTTTATTTTCGCTATATAATTAAATTGTATATGTGGTTTTTGAAAAAAGGACCAAGAAATAAAGAAGGATAATTTTTTTTTATTTTATTTTAATAAGTTTTGATTTATTTAATTTATATATGTACAGGTATATATAATTAGCGCTCTGTAACCGCTGAAGAGATTTTTTCGGCCGAATTTGGTTCAGTTTAATTTAATTAATATTTTTAATTATTTAATTTAATCCAATGTTATTTAGTTTAAATTAATTTAATTAATTTTTTTTATAAGTTTAAGTTTTACTATTTCCTAAAATAAATGGTCTAAAACAGTTCCATAAAACTGAAAAAACGCATTTTATTCTATATTATTTACAATAATTACTTCTTTTATTTTATTACATTTCATTTATTTAAGTAAATTTATTTATTTTTAATTTAGTGTAAATATTAATTTAAGTGAGTTCTTTTGATTTATTTCTATTTTATGTTATATTGTTAAATTAAGTTTACTTTTAATTTAATTTAATTAATTTAAATATAACTTAATTCAACTCATTTTATATTTCTTAATTTTTTTGGTTGCATTTAATTTTCTTATTTTATTTCGTTTATTTTGTTCTATTTAATTTCGTTTGGCTAAATTTAGTTTTATGTTATTTATTTAGTATATATTTAATATATATTTAATATGTATTTTTAATTAATTTAATTTTTTATATATTTTTTTAAGTTTTTTTTGTTAAATTTAATTTTATATTATTTTTTGTGATTTTATTTCATTTTAATTAATTCAATTTTAGTTTATTATATTAAATTTTTATTTTTTGTTTAGTTTTATTTTATGGTTATTTAATTCGGCCGAATCTTTTTATTTTTTTAGTTTATTAAATTAAATTTTTTTTAAATTTATTTTAGTTTAATTTAGTATTAATTTATTGTATTTGATTTTTTAATTTATTTTGCTCGGTTTAATTTAATTAAATTAACTAAATTAAATTTTGTTGATTAATTTTAATTTTTCAATTGCAATATTTTTAAATTTTTTTCAGATTTAATTATATTATTTTATTTCGTTTATGTTATGTAATATAAATTAATTTGATTTGCTTTGTTATTTATTTAATATATTTAAATATATTTTTTTAGTTAACTAAATTCAATTTATTTTTTATATAATTTTATGAGGTTTTTCGTTTAATTTGATTTTATATTATTTTCATTTGAATTAATTCTATTTTATTTATTCTATTTAATATTTTATTTTTTGTTTTATTTTATCATCATTAAATTTTTTTATATTTTTTATTTTATTGAGCTTAATTTAATTGTATTTAATCTTTTTTATTTCTTTTATTTTATATTGCTTTTATTTTATTTCATTATGTTTAGTTGTCTACTATTTTATTTTATTAAAATCTTTTGTTTTATATATATTTGTATTTTTTTGTGTTATTTTTTTATTTTATGTTGTATATTATATTTATTTAATTTAACTTAATTCTGTGTTTTATCATCTCATTTCGTAATATATTTTAATTTAATTCATTTTACTTATTTTTGGTTTAGGTCATTTTAAATTTTAAACAAATACATATGTATGTATGTATTTCGGCTTCTAACTCAGGCCAGGCAGACGCAACGATAAAATTGCATTTACAGGCAACTCTTTAAGTGTTAAACCTGCAAGGGACGGAATTCATGTAATGTCCCTTCGAAGGCCTAAAGTATAGTTCTATGTTGGTATTGATAGATTGCAAAGTATTAAAGGGTTATCCATTTCGAGATTCCCTACTTTTTTTTTGAAGAAAAAAGGCACAGAAAATTCAAATTTAATGAGGAATGTTTATTACTATTCGAAAGGACACTATTTGGCATTGGCACCGCTTACGCGATTATAGCCGAATCATAATTAGCGCGCAATTCATTTCTTCTTTTCGCTATGAGAATGCGACAACTGTTTGTGTGAAGACAGGAGATATTTCGTCTTGTCCTCATTTTCTATCAGATCCATTCGCTTCGCTTCTATATCTATTCTTGAGAAAGCAGAACACACGGCGCGGTTGTTGAGGCCAACAATGTCAATATCATCGGCGTACGCCAGTAGCTGTGGAGATTATCGCTTTCAAATTTTGGCTGCGGCTACGGCTCAGATGGCCCATCTATTTACGAAACAATGGTGAAAAGAAAACCCAACAATTGTACATTGCTACCATTGTTTCTTTCGTGGAATATTCTTCTTCGAAAATTTTACACTAAATAATTATCCTTGAAAAAAATAATTGCATATACTGAATTTTGGATGAGACAAGTCTTGGGGAGGAAATATTGAAAATTCATGTTATGTGAAACTTCCAGAATCTGGTAATAAATTATTTTGAGTCTATCAAAAACCTCTCTATAGACCGTAAAATTGCAGTTTACTTTGCAAAATGGCAGACATAAAGCAAAGAAAACAGTTTTCCAAGCTTTAGGTCTATATACGACAGTGGCCAAAAGTAAGGTGAATTTGCTTGTAAAATCAAAAATCCTCATTTATTCTTCTACATCGATTTCGTTGTCTTCAAAATAGTCCTCTGCTTTTTCCAATTCCTAATTCATTAATTTCATTGACGCTTTGTAACCGCTGAAGCTGTTTTCGGCCGTGCTCCTACTCTAATATGTGGTATTGCGTCTTGGAGGGACCTACATTATATACGAGTCCGAAGCCGCCTCCGAGCTGCTGGTGGTTTTTTATGAAGAACCTTTATTTCATTTCAAAAATACACTCGGAGGGGTTGGTACTCATTGCCGAGAGGCGACCACAATTAAAATATTCTAATAATTTTCCACACTATTTTAAGTAATTTAGGAATTTCTCTCTGCTTTTGTAAACAATTACAATTTTTAAATCTGAATATTTTCTATTTACCTATCCATTAGGTGCCTGTCTCGCCGAGAACCAACAAACCACCGGTTTGGGTCAAATGAATTCGCAATTACGATACAACCATTCCGGCACACCATATTTGCTGTACACCGATGGTGCACTCTGTGATGGCCAAACCAAGTGGTCGACAAAAATTGAGTTTGTCTGTGCCAACAATGCGACCAAAGACAATGGGACGGCGGATAACAGCAATGGCAGCAATGGCGATGGCAGTCATGTTTTGGGTCCAAAAATAATTGAAAATAAAAATTGCCAACTCCTAATTCATTTTCAAACACCATTGGCATGTCAAGAGCAGATTGAATGCAAAGTCAAAGTCTTTGTTGAGCATACGGATGATGGTATGGCTGAGGAGGAGGTGGTCGATTTGACGCCATTGATTAGTGCAACCGACAACTATGAGGCTGAAATTAATAACGCATCAATAACGGAACAACAAGTGCCTAAATCGACTAAGGTGAGAGATGAGAGACGTGCAATGAGAGTGCTGCAGCAGACGGCGTCAGCGTAACAAGTTGATTATCAAATAAAAGCTTGCAACTGCAGCAACGCAAAGCCGCACTCACAGTATTCGTTTTCATTCAAACAAATTTTCATATCGTACATACATACAAACATACATATACACACATTTATACTTCTCTTGCTTTCTTTTGCAGTTTTTCCTCAATATCTGTCGCCCGCTGGTGCCGAAATTCGGTTTAGGTTGTCCCGGTGGCTCGGCAGCCTGCATGGCTAAAGTCGATTCAACATCGCCAACGCCGGAGGAGGAGAAGGTGAGCTTATGTGCATTAAAGTATTTCTCAAATATTCACTTCGTATTTTAGTGGCACAAGTTGTTGTAGTTGTACCCATGTTTGTATGCTTGTATGTTTGCATTTGCTGTTATTATTGCAAGTTGTTCAAGGCTTTCGCCTTTGGCGTGTTTGCAACTTACATATTGAAGCATCCTTGGGAATTCCTTGTGGGAATTAATTAAAAACGACACCACCACAATTTGCTGCTTGGCACTCCATTGTCCATTGTCTCACCGCCTACCTACCTACCCACCTGCCAACCTACCTACCTGCCAGTGAGGTTGTTTGGTTGGTTGGCTTGCTGCATATTTTGCAATGCTGCTGATGAGTGGATCGCTGTGTTGTTGCTGCATTTTTAATTTGTGCATCGACGTGGAGGAATAGGAAGCTCCGTTCTAAACCGTTGCTTCTATTACTCTATGTCTATATATGTACATACATACATACATATATATGTGTATGTGCACAAATGTACTTATTTCCACTGTGATATTGTCATTTTAATTATGCAATCACTTATGAAATCGTTGAGCATGTCAACGAGTGCTTGTAGTCAATAATAATGTGGCCAACAACAACAACGGAGACTACGAACGTAGCTAACAGACAATTGACACATCTAACAAGCTGAATTTTCAATTTGTGTTAGAAGAGTGATTAATTTTTGAAATTTTACAAGCCTCAACGACAATTGGAATGAGGAATGAGGAGGTATTCTTCTTTCTCTCTCACAGATTTGAATATTTTAAGAGCTGGGATGGAGTGGCATTGTTTCTGGAAGCGTTTATTAGGATAATTCGAAGGTGACGCTCTGCTTATGCAGGAGCCTGAAATGTATTTTCTAAAATTCACCTCCGAATTTGTTGATGATTAGAAAAACTGTGATTTGGTTGTACATTTCTGAAATCTCAGGGTGCGACTGTGGTACTAGTTAGCGCCCAAACAGATTAACTTTCATATGGGTCCACTCATTCTCAAACCGTTGGTGCCAATTAGGTGAAATTCCCGCGAGTGACAACTATTTATTGAAGTGGCTGCCGGGCATCGGCACACCTAGGCCCCAAACGGGCCCATTGTGATACCATTGAGGATCCCAAAAGACCTCCACCCTCTAAGCGAACCAGTACGAGGAGTTTGCAAAACTGAGCAGTTGTCGCATCTAAGCCGCCGCTATCTCGCACAGGTCTCCAAAGGATGCCGCCCCTAGAGACTTCAGCCTACTCCTCTGAAGTGTGGGGCATTTGCAAAAAAAGTGCTTTAAAGTTTCCGCTGCTTCCTCCAGTCTGCAACTTCGGCAGAAATCATTTAATGACATGTCCAATCTCTCAGCGGGCCTGCCTAATATGATATGTCCTGTAGGAAGACCTATAACTGTAGACATATCTTTTCTATTTTCAGCTCGATAAGGTCACGTGACTTTCTACTGTTCCATTCTGGCCATGTTGTCCTGGCCATATTGTCCGAGCCACATTACATCTGTTAAGACTTCTCCATCTTAAACAGGGCTCATGATCTTACAGCAAATCAGCAAAATTAGCCTCTATCTCTAGAGCAAAATTATTGTTAGGCTTGCACGAACTTTGACTAAAAAATTCCATACTGAACCCAAAAGCCGTGATTTGCAACCGTGATCACCGATGTACACTTTCTAACTTGGCGTCACAGTCATAGTGACCTGCTATCAGAAAAATGTTTGGAAAACTAGTTTGGTTTAGAGCTGTGAGTATGAAAAAATTTCGGTTGCAGACGAAGACAAGAGCGTTTCAACAAGGTTTGGCACCTCTCTTGAAAATGCTTCTTCATAAGTCGCCTTTCAAGAACACAAAAGCAGATGCCGTAACCGATAATCATTGCGTACTGCTATTCGGAAGGCCAGGGTTCAAGGTTGCCGCCTCTTAAAGGCTCCTGGATATTATCTTACCTAAACCTAAAGAAGTTTTCTAAATGGTTATTTAGTCTCGAGCACAGCTCCTTTTTGTTACAGTGTTCTTTTATAAAAATTGACTATAAATATAAGTTTACCTTTACGAAAGATATAAAAACAGAGTGTAGAAAATACTTTATGAAGACAAAGAAAGAGAGGATGAAAGTAGAAAAGAAAGCGAAAAAAACATTGAAAAAATAACGATAAGAGAGAGACAGAAAAGAGATTATTGAAGTTAATAAAAAAATGTAGCAAAAAGCCTGAAATGAGAAAGAAAGACAGAGAAATACAAAAAGTGAGAGAGCAAGATGAAAATAGAGAGCAGTTAAGAAAGAGAGAAAAAACAGCTAAATCTTTCAGAGAGTTAAAGAACATAAGAAAGAGTGAGACAGATAATAGCGTGCTAGATATAAGAATATAGAGTTAGAAAAATTGAAATGGAGAAAGAGGGAGACACACAGAGATTGAGATGTTACAAAGGAAAGTAAGTTTGGAATATATTTGGGTAATTACTGAAGCGATTTTCGGCAACTCCTCCTCCAATTTGTGGTATGCGTCTCGGTGTATTTCCACCTCCGAACGGCTGATGGTTATTTTCACTCTGAGGTATAAACGAGAGGCGGCTGAAAAGTTCGCTGCCTGAAGTACTTACATCTCTTATGCTGCGCTTATAGCGTACAACTCGTTAATTAAGGCATTCTTTAAAGCAGTTTTTGGTGTCATAGTGTGTTCCTTAATCTTGCGTTTTAAATTAGCCCACATGTGCTCGATGGGATTAAGATCTGAAGACTGTACAGGTCAATCTAACAAAACAATGCTGTTATCTCTAAGCCAACGCATCGTAGTCGCTGATTTGGGACAAAGAGCATTGTCTTGCTGAAATTGAGCCCCATCTAAATTAGTATGACGGGAAATGCGCATTAACGAAGGCAGAAGAACAGCTTCTAATACTTTTATATACTTTTGAATGTTCATGTGACCCTCGCAAACTAACACTTCGCTGACGACATCAGCAGCAATGCAGACCAAGATAATAATGCGGCCTCCCTCATGCTTATTCTTCCCCAACCCGCCGCCTTACGAGCCTCACACCAGGTGTATATCTGTAGAAAAGAAAAAATAATGTTTTCATAAGATTTGTATTATGTCTTCAAAACTGCTCTAGGGTAAGAAGCTATGGTTGTTAATACTTTAAGAGGATCTTAACTAAGCTTATCTCGAAGTTTGATTCATCATACCACAGAATATTCGACCAATTTTCTTCCGCGAAATGTTGGTATCGGCGAGCCCATTTTACACGATTTTTCCTATTCCTATTCCTTTCTGAGAGCCACGGCTTCTTTCGGGCTTTACATCCTTTTAACCCTGCTTCCAGAAGTTTTCTTCTAGCTGTACGAGCAATAACTGGTTTACTAAATTCACCGAAAGGGCAGCGGCAAGGGCAGAAGAAGATGTACATATGTACATATATTACTTCTCAGAAGCGCTGGTGAATACTTCTACGTAGACTGGAACCACTTGTTCTCTTTTTTTTAAACATTTGTATTTATTCATTGCATCTGCTTCTTTATCAGAAGCCTCACAATAAATTGTCAGAACTTAAACTAAATCTTAAACTAAATTAAAAAATAATTGTCCGTTAGCTACGCTGCTGGCTCAATGTCGCTCTTCACAAGGCTAGTAAGTACCTTCTCTTCAGGCGCGTTTGACTTGTTACGGAGGCCAAGGAAACAGCCAAAATAGCCAAAGGGTTCGGATGATGGTGTAGTTTTTGTAGATCCCTTGATGGTGGGTATTTGTAGATCTTTATGGATATTTTCATTACGCATGTACCGTGGTGAACCTGTTATTGTTTTCAATGTTTTCGATTGACGCCTTTGTATTATATTTAAATTTGTCACGCAAGCTGTACACCATAACTGGATTCCATACGTCCATATCGGTTTTATAGTCGCATTATAAAGAAGAGTTTTGTTTTCGAGGCTGAAGCCGGATTTCTTGCTTAAAGCGAATTTCTTAAAAAAGAATGAAGTCGATGGCCGCAGTATTGGAGTAGGTAGTCTAATGCATGCTACAAGCCAGAGGCTGGTAGGATTGAGCATTCGGTATTTTTGTCTTAGAAGTGACTAAGCCTGGATCGAGCAAGTTGTGTGTTCGAGAGATCCAGGATTATTGCAATGGGAACTATCGCTTTTTTATTGGATTAACTGCCGCTGCCGGCATAATGGAATGATAGACCTTGTACATATCTAGATTTCACTAGACTTCGTTCCACCTGAAATGTTAATGACTGCATTGTTAAATAAATCAACGCCATCAAGCGGCTTTCAGTCAAAAATAAGTAAATTCTCTTTCCAACAAAGGCTTCTTAATTACCGCTAAAATGTTCTCCGATCGCAGCTGATAGCTCCAAATAAATTTCTCATAAAATTTTTAAAAAAAAAAGCACAACAAAAGCAAATCCGAAGCCATTGCTCTTTAGAGTAGAAGCGAACACATGTACAAATTAAAAAGGCATACCTAGCCATAGACTCTTCTTCAAATAGCAATTATCGCTAGCACATTCGAGGCGAAAATTCAGCAGTTTTACAGCACAATGATTGAGCGAACGAGCTTGAGCGCGCGATGATTGAATGTAGGACTAAACGGGTGAATGAAGGTTTCCAAGAATGGGCATTGTTGAAAGGTAGTATGTGGATGTGCATATATCACACATACATGTGTATGTATACACACATCTATAGGTACGTGTACGCACGAATACATTTGTGTCTGTTTGTATTTTCGAGCGACTTAACGTGTTAATGATGCTGCAAACAAATCGAATGAGTGAGTGGATACATAAATGATGAATGGAAAATGTAGAATGCCAAATGCCAAATGTAGAATGCATATCAACTTATGTACATACATACATACACTCAACGAGACTTACCCACATAAGTGCTTCGATTCATTCGTGCTTGACGCACTTGCTTGCCGGCTCATGAATTGTGAATTGTTAGCGTTGGCCAAGAAGCTCTCGAACATCATTTATGCAGCAACACAGATTTCATATGCATGAAACGGCGTGGAAGACTACTTTAGCTTCAGTTTGTCACGATATAGCTTGGAACCGCTGCTG